CTGTCAGCGTTCTCTCGAATCACAGGTTTGTGCGGGATATAAAACTCATGTCCGTTAGGTTTTTCTGGAGCACTCTGTACAAAGTCCTCTTGAATCTGTTCTTGAATAATCTGATCATATTTCTCGGTAATGGAAGAGCGATTCAGTTTTCGCATTTAATGATTCTAACCGTCGAACACTACCCTGCTTGTTACTTGGTAAAGGGGGATGGTTACCCTTCCAGGGTAACCCAGTCTCGTACCATCCTGCAGGGTCACGTCTCAGTTGCTCTTTGAATTCTGCGTAAACAATGTCCTGGTCATTCTCTGGAAGATCTTCTAAACCAAGCACATCCAACCGACAGAGGTTTTCATAATCACCAGTGGAGGTCTGTGTTAGCAACATCTTGTTTGAATCACTTTCAACTCCGGGTGACATCATAGTCCAGCCAAATGATGTTTTCTCTGCAACTGGATCTCCGGGTGAACCGACTCTTTGGGCACATTTTGTTTTGATACGGGCATAGTCACAAGCTCCCAACACGACATGTATTGGAAGTTGATCCTTTTGGTCATCGTCAATCATCTTTACTCCACCAAGATGGGGATATTTCTTGATTAGACTGTCATAGTGAGGGTTAGGAAGTTCCATCAGACAAGGTTTTTCCACTTTAGTCAGCTTAGTTTCCATGTTAAAGTTGCTTTCCGTACTGCTAATGTTCACATTAAAGATTTCCACTCGACGAGTTGCTGATACCATTAGCATTTCAACTCTTGTAACTTTCGACTCGCTAGGTTTCTTGTTTAACTGTTCGACTAACTTCGCAGATGCGTATGAGCTTCCGGAACCGGTGTCAAGCAGTGCCCTACACTTGGTACCGTCGACTTCGACAAGAACTACTGGGTAAATTACTTTGTGATCGCTGGGGTGGTATGCTGCGGTCAAAATGGTCTTGGCTAGTTCACATATTGAGGTGTGGTGACGTCGGTTACAGTTCTGGCAGGTTTGCTTACTCCTACACTCAGATGCCCTATGACTACCACCCGTGCAGTTAAAACACAGTTTCTTGTCCGATAAAAGCTTTCGTCGAGCTTCACAGGTGGTCACCGAGTCACAAGCAATGGACTTGTGATTTTTAGAGTCGCAATATACACACACTCGAGATTTCTGATCTATTTGACGGGTCTGATAAGCCCTTGATGCATCTTTCCTTTCGTTGCTTGTCTTTGCTTCAATAGGGTTTCTTTCAGTCCAAGCGAACAGTGCTTTGACTAAATCTGTGAATGTCCAGTCTTTCCATTTGGGCTCAGTTCTGACTAAGTCCCCACGTATTCCAGGTACTTTGTTCAAGGTAAGTCGTACATATCCATTTACTTCCTGAAGTTTTCCCAAAGTTTCCAGTGACTGAACACAATAAACCAATTTCTCGTAGAAGGGGTGTATTTTCTCCGGTCGGGTACTTGTTATCGTTGGCAAATTCACGATTTCTTCCACATAGGAATTCACAATTTCACTGGTGTTTCCATATTTTCTTCAAGGATTTTCTTCGCACTTTTGTATCCTTCGGTCGTGAAGGGCAGTCCATCTATACATGTCCGTATCTTGGGTTCTACTAACTCTTTCAGGTAAGAGAATTTCATCACATCAGGAATATCGGCCAACTCAATACCCGCAGAAAATTGGCCCCAGAATCGCAACCAGTCGTGATATGAGCCATTAAAAGGTGTAATTACAAGCTTTGGTAGCTTTGTAGATGAGTTTTTCCCTGCTTGAACTTCTTTAATTTCCTTTTGATACTGTAATTTTTGATTGAAAAGTTCCTGTTCGAAGGCAAGTTGTTTATCTCTTTCGTGTTTCTCGAAGGCTTGTTGTCTCGCATAATTTTCTTCGTCTAATAGTCGTTTATTTTCGTTTTCCAGGGCGCTTTCTTTCTGGCGTTCGTCTGCTTTAAGGCGCTGAATATACTCGTTTAACTGCTTCACTTTCTCGTCGGCCAAAGCTATATTTTCCTCGATTGATTCCCCCCATGCTGCGATATTCTCTTCGGAGTCGCCTTCGATAAATTTCTTTTCTTCGATTAGTTGTTTCAGGTCACTTATAGCCAAAATAATCTTTGTTATTTGACCCTTTTGTCGAATAGCGACTTCTTCATCGTTTGTTTTAAGTATATCATCGGTTTTCTTGGTCGTAAAATTGAGTAAACGTAACTTGCCATCAATTTCGTCGAGTTGTTGTTTTAATGCCATTATATTCGGAATTCCCTTGCTCTTGCTCGAGCTAAATCTCTAGTTACAATCCCGTTGGGAGGTGCCAGGTGTCGTAAATTGCCTCCTGTTGTGTTTACGACAATTCACAGTTTTATAAACACAGGTTTAGTTAACAATCTCTTTCCTTTTTTACTTGTTTAATATCTCGCCCTATATAACAATCTCCATTCGCACGCTCGCTCTCGTCACTAATGTTTTTACAACATGTGTTCGTTTCACCGGAAGTGTTGGCGCACGCCGCATTTCCGGCTTCTAAACTGTTAATACTGTCTATATATATATATATTGTTAATCTCCAACACAATTTTTATCTTGACAGCATGTAAATCCACTAAATCCTTTGTTTGATATTCTAGAAATATTGAAAGCCGTTATACTGAACCTGCGGAAGTTGCAATGGAAAAGAAATGGATGAACTACTTTGGAAGTAAGAAAGAAATTTTTCCCTTTCCATTTTCATTACTGTTTATCAAGAGAGGGTAACAGTGGCGCAAATGTTGGGGATACGAGTTTTAGGTTTCCAACAATATGTTTTGCTCAGCTCTGCAAATCCAGTTCTTAACTGTTTCCCTAACATTTAGTTCAGATTTACCTAAATAACATAATATAACAGACTTTTGCAGTTGTAAAAAGGATTCTTAAAACTTATAGTACCAATGTTAATCACCTATCATTCAAGTTCTACATGAAGGCCTTTTAACCACCCTCTCGTAACTAGTGTCTGTCACTGGTGTGGGTTTCTATGGTGGATAATACAAACATCTTGCAGCAGTATTGCATCATCTTAGGAACTGTGAATCTGTGGGTGATTATTCATAAAAAATGGCAAAGTAATGCATATTATAAGTTTGCTTCTAACGAAGACAGATTTGTCTTAATCTTTTAAGATACTAGGTTAAAACAGGTAGATAAGTGAATTTTACATGTGTTTATTTTACCTTTGTGACAATATTATTCTTTCAGACCACTCCGGTTTTGCTTCCCGACCAACACCTCGTGGCCCTTCTGATCTTGCATATGCATCTCTAAGGTAATGTATGAAGGAACTATACATGAATATTCCGTAGCCGGAGGGCCTAAAGTTGCCTTTTTCGCACCTGCTCCCATGCAGTCAAGTCTAAAGTTGTGTATAAATTTTCGTTCTTAATAAGGCTGCAAATATCAGGCTGCAAATATCAGGCTGCAAATATCAGGCTGCAAAACACATGCAGGTTCGACTTGGTTTAATCAAAATTGTGGAATATCCATACATGATGCCTAAAACATGTAAATAAATATTGTTTTAGGGATCATATTTATCCACATCGTCAGGAACCACGCACTGAGGAAAGAACAGGCGGCAGTCATAGCGAATGGTTGAAGAAATTCCGTTCAGACTTAACTTTTACTTCTGGATCTGGACACCAGACCTCGACGTATCCTTTCTTATAAGTGGTGTATAATCAAACGTGAAGGTGAAGATCTAATCTACGTCCTACAATAAACTGTTGTGGTTTTAGTTGGAACTTACTGAAAAAGATTAAAAACATCCATGCACATTTCCTTTTGACTATAACTTTCTTACTTCCTGTTTTTTATATCTATACATGGTTTAAGAAGCCAAAGAGACCACTAGGCACTAGCTGGTGCTTCGTGTTTCAAAACTTCGTGTTTCAAGGCATGTTCTTCACGCATCAGGTTCCGTGTCAATTTGTTCGTATGACATGATATATATAGGGACTAGCTAACAGTCGTGGGTCGTGGGTAGAATGTCGTGGGTCGTGGGTAGAATGTCGTGGGTAAAAAGTCGTGGGTCGTGGGTAAAAAGTCGTAAGTCGTGGGTAAAAAGGCGTGGGTCGTGGGTAAAAAGGCGTGGGTCGTGGGTAAAAAGTCGTGGGTAAAAAGGCGTGGGTCGTGGGTAAAAAGGCGTGGGTCGTGGGTAAAAAATCGTGGGTCCCGAATAAAAAGTCGTGAATTCCAAGCAAAATATTTCCATATATTTACCTTTCTCCCTTTGGAATGCGTATTTTTTTTTTCTTCTGAGGCTTTCCCAAACTATGCCCAAATATGCATAGCTTAGAGCGCGTTAAGGCCGGATTCCACGAGGCGGAATTTTTCGACCGAAACGAAATTTCTCTTTGTCTTTTTACAATTAGTTCTGTTCGAGAGCTCTGAAACAAAGAGAAATTTCGATTCGGTCGAAAAATTTCGCCTAGTGGAAAACCGCCTTTAAGGCCGGGTTTTTGATATCGGCAGATCGGTTTATAAATATTATAACCAAGTGTGGATGAAACAGTTCAACTTCACGCCCCATATAGTTCAAATATTTGGACGTTATAATCTTATAGACAGATAAATTAGTTACTGCAATTCTTCAACAAGAATATGGCTCAAGGCCACATGTACGAAAACTGAGTAGCACTATCCACTCGATATTATAGTCAAATTTTTGTAACCGGCAATGGCATCATATGTTTTCAAAGCTATATATGGAACTGCGGAGTATAGCTAACCATTCAATTAATGAAATAATATGACATTTGACTTATATATGGTCTTCATGTATATACTATACAAAGAATTCGAAGATCGCCGGTCTGCAAAGTAGTGATGCATCGATATCCATATCGGTAATTTTGTTGTTGATATTACCGACATCGTCGTAAACATTACAAGAAAATATATCTCTAGACCAACCAAAGTTGCTGTTATTTAAAACTGCTGAAGTCTATCCTAAACGATTTCTGAAATATCGCAAACTACAAACGGAACAAACCTTGCATGTAAACAATGCTACTCAGGCTGTTATTAAATAAGCGCTGTGAAATTTCCAAATTCCAACTTGCCATTGACTTCGCTGAAACTTGATGCTCAAGAAATATGTAGAAGTATACCTCTCTGTTATCAAACCTACGGTAAAATAATCCGACAAAAGCCTACTGAAAGATAAGTCAAAGCATGAATGTTACAAAATACTGTATGTGTCACTATGTGACTGTATATTTGTAACTTATATGTTTGACATTAGAAAATACAAATCACATCATGATAAATTTGACACTAGATTCACTACTT